CTACCATCACTTATGCGGAGTTCTCCCGCCGCTTCCGGGCCGTGTTCGACCATCCACCAGAAGGGAAGGCGGCGGGGGAGCGTCTGTTCTTCCTCCGACAGGGGATGAGGAGCGCGCAAGATTTTGCCCTGGAGTTCCGGACTCTAGCGGCAGATGCAGGGTGGAATGAGCGGGCCCTCATAGACCATTTCCGTTGTAGCCTTCGGGAGGACGTCCAAAGAGAGTTGGCGTGCAGGGATACCATGTTGACGTTTGACCAACTAGTCGACATGGCCATTCGGTTGGACACCCTGCTCGCCACCCGTGGACGTCCCGGATGGGGGTCGCCCATTTCACCCTCCAGCACCTCCGAGCCGAGCCCTATGGAGCTCGGAGGTGTTGGCGCTAGAGAAAGGAGGAGTAGGAACCCGAGGGGGGCCGTCCCCTGCACCAACTGTGGCCGTGGAGGGCACACCGCGGCTAGGTGTTGGGGAGGGTCCCCCGGTGGAGGTGAAGGCAGGCCACGCATTGGGGAGTCGTCCCAGGTGAGTAGGCGCCCTACTTACCCAGAGCTTTCTGTCGTTCACATAACCTTGCCTGTTTGTTTTCCACAGGTAGCACCTCGTTCCCAGCATAAGGCGCTAGTCGATTCAGGCGCAGCTGGGAACTTTGTAGATCGCCAGTTCTGTGTAGAATTAGGGATTCCTCTCCTACCCGTTGATAAGCCTTTCCCTGTACATGCCCTAGATAGCCGTCCGTTAGGATCTGGGTTGATTAGGGAGGTCACAGCGCCCCTTAAGATGGAGGCGCAGGGGGGTCATGAGGAGACAATTCAGCTCTATCTGATTGACTCTCCTGCGTATCCGGTGGTGCTGGGGCTTCCCTGGTTGATTACCCATGACCCTACTATATCGTGGCGAGAGAAAGCTCTTAAAGGGTGGTCTGCTCAGTGTGAGAGGCTGTGTCTGGGCGTTTCCATAGGGGCGACCTCGGTGGAAAGTCCGAATCTAATGCCTGCACTGCATATTCCCCCCGAGTATGAGGATTTTACACTGGTGTTTAGTAAGACTAGGGCGGCGCAGCTGACGCCTCATAGACAGGGGGATTGTGCGATAGATCTCCAGTTAGGAGCAGCCCTCCCGCGGAGCCATGTGTATCCCTTGTCTCAAGAGGAGAGGAAGGCGATGGAAACTTACATCGCCGAGTCTCTGAGACAGGGATACATACGGGCCTCCACTTCACCCGCTTCCTCAAGCTTCTTTTTTGTGAAGAAAAAAGATGGAGGTCTGCGCCCGTGTATTGATTACCGCGGTCTCAATCAGATTACGGTGAAGTACAGCTATCCACTTCCTCTGATTGCGACTATGACGGAATCATTACACGGTGCTCAGTTCTTCACAAAATTGGATCTCAGGAGCGCATATAACTTGGTGCGCATTAGAGAGGGCGATGAATGGAAGACAGCGTTTAGCACGACCTCCGGTCATTACGAGTATCTCGTCATGCCATATGGGTTAATGAATGCTCCCTCAGTCTTCCAATCCTTCGTCGATGAGATCTTCCGGGACATGCAGGGGCAGGGAGTAGTCGTGTATATAGACGATATTCTGGTGTACAGTTCTACCCGAGCAGAGCATGTAGCCCTGGTGCGCCGAGTGTTGAGGAGGCTGTTGGAGCATGACCTATATGTCAAGGCAGAGAAATGTCTGTTCTTTCAGAAGTCGGTCTCCTTTTTGGGTTATCAGTTGTCTGCGTCAGGGGTGAAGATGGAGGTTGACCGGGTGTCAGCTGTGCATAATTGGCAAACCCCAACCACTGTGAAAGAGGTGCAACAGTTCTTGGGTTTTGCGAATTACTACCAGAGATTTATCCGGGGTTTTGGACAGGTGGCAGCTCCCATAACGTCTCTGTTGAAGGGGGGTCCGGTGCGCTGAGGCGGACAGGGCTTTTGGGAGACTGAAGGACCTGTTTACCTCGGCGCCGGTGTTGGCGCATCCGGATCCCGCTTTACCATTCCAGGTAGAGGTCGTCCCCGAGGCCGGGATCGGTGCACGGCTGGAGCCGCGCGTCAAGGGGGGGGGTACTGTCACGGTTTCGGCCGAGGCTGCTCCTCCTCCTTGTTCGGGCAGGCTTCGGCGGTCGTGTGTGGGGGCAGGTGTTATGTGGTATTGTTCATTGTCAAGCTGTTGCTCTGTTGTATACTCTCGTGTTTGTTGTTTTTTCCCGAGAGTCCGCACTGTGTGCGCTTTATTCATTTTTACGCACGGTGTGTGTTGTGCGTAATTTTGTACTTTGCTTCCCGGTTGGGTTGGCTGTTCGCCTGTTTGGTGCTGCATTTTTGTTTACTAAAGTCTGTTGACGAACGCCCGTGTTTCCTGCGCTTGATTCCCTCACCGCATCCACACTCTGGCACCCCAATGGTGGAACGATGCCTACCTATAATACCTAACTACAATCTAAATACATAGTTTAAGCCTTACTCGACAAAGCCCAAGCTATGTATAAAGCCAAACTTACCCGACGCCAGCTGTCTGGGTGGCAGACTGCAATCAGTAGCTGTAATTAAGTACAGCAGCCACCAACCACCTAACGTTAATGCCTCGGATAATGAGGTTAGAAAAACAGCTGAATGGTAGGTAGCTAGCTGGCTCAATTACAGGTACTCTTAAGCGTGAAATAACATTGGAAACAACTAACCACAGTTGCTAAAAGTTACCAGTAGCTACCTGCTAGCTAGCTAGCTTTGTTGGTCCAAGTAGTGGGTTAGCTAGCACTCGTGCTTCGCCGGGGTCCGCCGAATACAATACTTACCTACAATAATTACCTACAATAACCTACAATAACTACCTAAGTAAACTACCTATAATACCTAACTACAATACCTACCTACAATCTAAATACATGGTTTAAGCTTTACTCAACACCATATAAGAAGCCAAGCTTACCTCCTGCTAGAGAAAACACAACCTCTCAACCTCATATGTAGTGATTCTTATCCAGAGCGACTTACAGGAGCAATTAGGGTTAAGTGCCTTGCTCAAGGGCACATCGACAGATTTTTCACCTAGTCGGCTCGGGGATTAGAACCAGCGACCTTTCGGTTACTGGCACAACGCTCTTAACCACTAAGCTACCTGCCGCCCCGCCCCGCCCCGCCCCTCCCCGCCCCGCCCCGCCCCGCCCCCGCACCCGCACCTGCACCTGACAGGTGTGGCATCACAAGAAGCTGATTAAACAGCATGATCATTACACAGGTGCACCTTGTGCTGGGGACAATAAAAGGCCACTCTAAAATGTGCAGTTTTGTCACACAACATAATGCCACAGATGTCTCAAGTTTTGAGGGAGTGTGCAATTGGCATGCTGACTGCAGAAATTTCCACCAGAGCTGTTGCCAGAGAATTTAATGTTAATTTCTCTACCAAAAGCCGCCTCCAACGTCGTTTTAGAGAATTTGTCAGTATGTCCAAATGGCCTCACAACCGCAGACCACGCTTATGGCGTCATGTGGGTGAACGGTTTGCCCCATGGTGGCGGTGGGGTTATGGTATGGGCAGGCATAAGCTACGGACAACAAACACAGTTGCATTTTATCAATGGCAATTTGAATGCACAGAGATACTGTGACGAGATCCTGAGGCCCATTGTCATCACCTCATGTTTCAGCATGATAATGCACAGCCCCATGTCGCAAGGATCTATACACAATTCCTGGAAACTGAAACTGTCCCAGTTATTCCATGGCCTGCATATTCACCAGACATGTCACCCATTGAGCATGTTTGGGATGCTCTGGATCGACGTGTACGACAGCGTGTTCCAGTTCCCGCCAATATCCAGCAACTTCGCACAGCCATTGAAGAGGAGTGGAACATTCCATAGGCCACAATCAACCACCTGATTAACTCTATGCAAAGGAGATGTGTCGTGCTGCTTGAGGCAAATGGTGGTTACACCAGATACTGACTGGTTTTCTGATCCACGCCCCTACCTTTTTTTTAAGGTATCTGTGACCGATGCATATCTATATTCCCAGTCATATGAAATCCATAGATTAGGGCCTAATTTATTTATTTCAATTGACTGATTTCCTTATATGAACTTTAACTCAGTGAAATCTTTGAAATTGTTACATGTTGCATTTATGTTTTTGTTCAGTATAGTATCTTCAAAGTTATTCGGTAATCATCATTTATTTGAAAAACACAGTTTCCATCATCATTTGTCGCAATAAAGAAAGTTTGACAAAACTTTATATTTGCCGTTTCCATTACACATGTCGCAATTCTTTTTTTTGTGACATTACTTTTGTCTAATACATCTGGGTCAATGGAAACCTGCCTACTGTCTGTGTTCTTAGGGCACATGGGGTGTATTCATTCCGCTGATTCTGTTGCAAAACGTTTCTTAAATAGAAGCAAACGGAATGAACCGGGGAGGGACTTACCTGAATTTGTCCAATAGAAACTCATGTTTTAGTTGATTACACCCCAGTTAACACTTTATCTTCGATTCCTAAGAGAATGTTTTTAGAATTCTCTCCATACAGTCCGTGTTCATTCAAGTACAAATGTCAAAAGGAATCTAGTATTGAAGCCCTGAAGAGGGCACAATTAACCCAAAATGAAGGAACCACCCTTGCTAATACAGGGCAGTGTGAGCTACAGAGGAGCACAGCAGCACTTACCACAAAGCACTGTTTCTCTATCTCTCCACCCAGCTCGAATTGTGGTCTGAATTCACAAGAAGGCAAACATCCCCTGCTCTCTACTTCCTGTGTTCTAGAATGAGCTTGCTTCAAAAACCACAGGTGGGTCATGTGACTTGAAAGTTCCACATTCTGTGTTCCGCTATGTTCTGTGTTCTGTACATTGTCATTCATGCTTTTAGAAATTGATTATGACTCTGCATTGTTGTGCAAGACTGAGGGAGTAGCTCTTTACTCATGAGTAAAGCCTTCCTATAAAAGAAAAGAGCAAGAGAAAAGAGAGGAAGAAGAGAGAGAGAGAAAGAGAAAAGAGATGGAGTCACAGGGTGAAGGGTACCCTCCCTTCTCGGTCTCAACTGGTGGTGGTAAGTTCTTTATGAAACTACAGTAATAGCATAAAAGATGGTACATGATTACTTTGACCAGAGTTTGAATCTGTTTGATTTAGGTGCTAAAAAAACCACATACAAATTTGAAAAGTCATCAGTAAATGTCTAAATAACTGATGTCACCGCAGGCACACTTCTACTTTCTGTCACTCAATTTATGGTCACACTAAGGAAGTACAATACAATTCTCTCTCTTTCTTTACAGATGAGAGTATGCAAGGTGTAATGCAGAAAGAGTGGAACCCTTCACTCAGTGCTCCCCCTCTCCCAGAACTTAGGCTAGTCCTGCTGGGAAGGAAAGGAACAGGGAAGAGCTCTGCGGCCAATACCATCCTGGGAGGAATAGGAGGGTTTGAGATCGGCAGACCCACCGAGGAGTGCTCGAAAAGGCGAGCTGATCTAACCGGGAGACGAGTCACCGTGGTAGACACCCCCGGCTGGGAATGGTACTACCCTCTCAACAGCACCCCCGACTGGGTCCGGCGAGAGACGCTGCGCAGCATGTCCCTGTGTTCCCCCGGACCTCACGTTGTCCTGCTAGTGATACGTTCCTGCGCCTCGGTAACGGAGTCCTACAGGAAGCAGATAGAGGAGCACCTGGAGTCTCTGGGGGAAGGGGTGTTGGACCATACCATGTTGCTGTTCACCAGGGGGGATGAGCTGGGTGTGGTGCCCATGGAGCATAGGATCCTGACGGGTGGGGCTGCCTTCCAACAGCTGCTACGGAGGTGTGGGAACAGGTATGAAATGAAAATATTGGCATTTTTTGGTTGATATTGTCATCTTGGAGGGATGTACATTCTATTTTTATTACCAACTTTAACCTGCAACATGGGCTTTAACATACCAGTAATTTAGCTTAGCAGGCGTTCTTATCCAGAGCGACTTATTGCTCGACTATGAAAAGCCAACTGACATTTACTCCTGAGGTGCTGACCTGTTGCACCCTCTATAACCACTGTGATTATTATTTGACCCTGCTGAAGAGCTATGAATGTTTGAATAGCTTGAAGAATGATCTGGCCTCAATGGGCATGTACTCCTGTGTAGCTCAGTTGGTAGAGCATGGCACTTGCAACTCCAGGGTTGTGGATTCGATTCCCACGGGGGGCCAGTATTAAAAATGTATGCACTCACTAACCGTAAGTTGCTCTGGATAAGAGCGTCTGCTAAATGACTAAAATGTAAGTACTCTTATAATCTCCACCTGGCACAGCCAGAAGATGACTGGCCACCCCTCAGTGCCTGGTTTCTAACCTAGGTTCCTGCCTTTCTACTGAGTTTTTCTTAGCCACGTGCTTCTACATCTGCATTGCTTGCTCTCTGGCGTTTTAGGCTCGGTTTCTGTATAAGCACTTTGTGACAACTGCTGATGCAGAAAGGGCTTTATAAATACATTTGATTGATTCATTGATTGATTGATAATCAGTGCATTCAACTAAGGAAGGTAGGTAAAACATCCACATATCAATGGGCTCCTGAGTGGCGCAGTGGTCTAAGGCACTGCATCTCAGTGCTTGAGGCGTCACTACAGACCCCCTGGTTCAATTCCAGGCTGTATCACAACTGGCCGTGATTGGGAGTCCAAAAGGGCGGCGCACAATTGGTCCAGGTTTGGCCGGTGTAGGCAGTCATTGTAAATCAGAATTTGTCCTTAACTGACTTGCCAAGTTAAATAACGGTAAAAAAACATCACAACACATATCCCAAGTAACATTTTCTACATAAAAAAAGCTATCTGGAAATCTGAGTGCAAGAAAGGTAAGAACAAGAGCGGTACATTTTTGGTTTTTATTTGTGTTTTTGTTGTCTTCCAGGTACCATGTCCTGGACAACAGGAGCCGAGGAGATGGAACTCAGGTAAGGGAACTACTGAGGAAGATGGAGGAGATGGTGGATAACAAGGGAGGACATTTTGGGGCAGATCCTGCCCTCCTGAGCTTGGAGGCAGATGGGAGGAGGAGAGCGAGGGAACGGAGGAAGAGACAGAGACAGATGGAGGCCCAGACTCAGAGGGGTACCATCCGAGCTGTGCTTCTGAGTGAGTTCCTTAAAAGTGGCTATGTAGTATGACCCATTTGATTATCTTCTCTGAGTTCGAATATTTCCTCATCAGCATAACGCTGTATCAAAAAACATTAAGTGAAAATGATGTGTGATAAATACATCGTTGTCTTAAATTCAAAACCTGTGATCATATATTTCAATCTATATGTCATTTTACTATCCTTATGGAAAATAGGACCTAGGGACATGCATAAACTTAAACCAATAGGAATACCTAAACTGATGTGGCGTACAGTACACTCGGATAACCACTAAATATTCTAACCCTGAAATCTTGTGCCCCCTTTCCCTGACAGGCGACACTGGATCCCAGGGCTCTGAGTGGGACGGGAAACAACCATTCTCCAAGGGTACCCGTCGTCTCCCAGAGCTGAGACTGGTCCTCCTGGGAGAGAGAGAGACGGGGAAGAGCTCGGCTGGGAACACCATACTTGGTGGAGAAGGAGCAGGGTTCTTTCAGACAGGGAGGGTGACGGAGGAGTGTGCCCGGTGCCAGGCAGAGGTAGGTTTTACATTTACATTGTAGTCGTTTAGCGAACGCTATGTTCAGAGCGACTAACAGTCAGTGCATTCAACTATGGTATGGGTAAAAACAACCACATATCACACAGTTATCTTCAGAATACCACTATCAGCATAATCAGTGCTAGTAATAAAATAAAAAAGCGAGTCAGTGTGTTGGGAGACAAGTACAACATTAAAGTGTTTATTTATTTAATTGTGCCATTTTTAGGTAGCCATGAGGCTGGTCACCGTGGTGGACACCCCTGGTTGGGAAGGCGGAGTAGCAGGCCCCACCCCAGAGAGGGTAAAGCGGGAGATGGTGTGGGGTAGCGTGTCCCTGTGTCCCCCGGGACCCCACGCTGTGCTCCTCACCCTGAGGGTGGACACCCTGGTCGGTGCCACACCTGTAAGAGAACACCTGGAGCTCCTGGGGGAAGAGGTCTGGAGGCATACTGTCCTCCTGTTCACCCATGGGGACCAGCTGAGGGAGGGGGTGGGCATTGAGCAGCACATCCAAAGCGGGGGGAGGGACCTTAAGTGGCTGGTGGAGAAGTGTGGGAGCAGGTATGTCTGCTGTCCTTATCTCTCTGTTTTGATTGTTGTTGTTTCTTGTTCTTATGTTTAATTTGTAATCTTCCTCTGTAAAGCGTGTTGAGACATTGTGATAATGGACTTAAAAATAAAAACGTGACTTGACTTGACTTGACAGGTACCACGTCATCAGTAATGTGAATGGATGTGGGGACGCCACTCAGGTGTTAGGCCTGCTGGAGAAGGTAGAAAAGATGGTGGCCGGGAACAGGTGCGAGGCCTTCTCGTCGCTGGTGCAGGAGGTCAGCGACCTCACCAGACAGAGGAACGAGAAATTCAACCAGCGTCTGAAAGAGGTTGGTGACAAGATGCAGCGTCAGGAGACGGAGCTCAAGAGGATGAGGGAGAGGGAGGTCAAGAGAATCCGCTGGTTTTTCAATAGGAAGAAGAAAGTTAAATCTCCGGGGAAGTCAGGCGTGGAAAAAGAGGAGGACGGAGGGGAGGAGGAAGAGAAAAGGAGTGATGGGAGGAAGAACGAAATGGGCGAACTGGAGGAGTGGATTAGGTGGCTGACAGAGGATAAGGAGAGAGAGATTCAGGATCTGGGCATGGAAAACGACAGAGTCATCGCTATGCTCAATCAGAGAAGCAGAGAGCGAGAGGAGACAGTCAACAAGCTGGAGGAGAAAGAGAGAGAGATTGAAGAGCTGAAAGAGAGAGTTGATGAGCAGCAAGTGAAACTGCTCGACCTTGAGCGTGTCATCGAGGAGAAAGAACGAGAGAGAAAAGAGAGGGAGGAAGAGTTTAGAGGAAAGCATCAGGAATGGAGGAGGGAAGCAGAGGAGTTGAAAGACAGGATAAACCTGGAAGAAAAAGAAAAGGAGCAGTGGATAGAAAGAGTAAAAATGTCACAGAACGAGATGTATGAGTCAAAACAGTTGTATGAGGAGACACTTTTACAGTATGAGGAAGAGATGGAGAGAAAACTGCATGAAAAAGAGGAAGCGATGGAGAGGAAACTGCATGAAAAAGAGGAAGAGATGGAGAGGAAACTGCATGAAAAAGAGGAAGAGATGGAAGGAATGAGACTGCTATCTGAGACAAGCGAAACAGAAAGGAGGGATGAGCAAAGAAAGAGAGATGCAAGGGAAAATAAAGAGATGAACAAGCTGAAAGAAATCATTGAAAATAAAAATAAAGAAATAACTGATACACAGCAATTGGTTACAGAGAAAGAAAAAGAGATTGTGGAAGCGAGGGCGAGATCTGTTGACAACGTAAAAGAAATTGAGCGGCTGAAAGAAAATAATGAAAATAAGAAGTCTGAGATGGTGGCAATGCAACAGCAACACACAGAGTATGAAAGTAGGAGAGATGCCGAGACAATGGACAAGCTACAAGGGAAAGAAGTGGAGCTCAACAACTTAAAACAGAAGGACCGGGAAAATGAGCGAGAACTTGTCAGTTTAAGGCAAACCATTAAACAAACAAAGACAGAACTGGAAAACTTAACTGCCACGATGGAGAAGGAAATGATGAACATGATACAGGAATATGAAAAGGAAATCAAGACAAAGGACGTGGAGATGAGGTTGATGTTAGAAGACAAAGAAAGTTCTGTCAGCCAACTGCAGAAAATGGATGAAGAAAGTAGGAAGGACATTTCAGGCATGACAGAATACTTACGGGACAGCCAGAGGAAGGTTGAGGAACTGCAGGACCTGAACGTGAAATTGAAGAAAGAGATGGACAACCTCAGGAAGAAGTGTCAGGAGTATGAGGAGGACCAGGGTTTTCAGAGAACCAGGAGTGAGAGCAGAGAGGCTGACATCAGAGAGCTGCTCTGTGGATATGAAGAGCAGTTGAAAAAGAAAGATGGGGAAATCCACCATGTTATGAAAGAGTGGGAGCTGGAGGTCGTTGCGTTGAAACAGACGAACGATGAGAGACAGAAAGAGCTGGAGAAAATGAAAGAAGAGGGAGAGGTGAGAGAGAAACAGGTGGATGAGATGAGATGGTGTTATGAGAAGAATCTGCGAGAAAGACAGAATGAGCTGAAACAGACGGCTGAGGAAAAGGAGAAAGAGCTTGAGAAAAGGGAGAGAGCATTTGATGAGAAGGAACGAGAACAAGCAAAAAGTAAAGAAGTGCTGGATAACAGAGGACGTGAACTTGAGACGAAAGAGGCAGAGCTAGTGAAAAGAGAGGAAGAGCTAGTGAAAGGAGAAAGAGTGCTAGTAAAAGGAGAAGAAGAGCTAGTGAAAAGAGAGGAAGAGCTAGTGAAAAGAGAGGAAGTGCTAGTGAAAAGAGAGGAAGAGCTAGTGAAAGGAGAGGAAAAGCTAGTGAAAAGAGAGGAAAAGCTAGTGAAAAGAGAGGAAGAGTTAGTGAGAAGAGAAGAAGAGCAAGTTAAAGGAGAGGAAACGCTAGTGAAAAGAGAGGAAGAGCTAGTCAAAAGAGAGGAAGAGCTAGTTAAAGGAGAGGAAAAGCTAGTGAAAAGACAGGAAGAACTAGTGAAAGGAGAGGAAAAGCTAGTGAAAGGAGAGGAAGGGTCAGTGAAAAGAGAGGAAGAGCTATTCAAAAGAGAGGAAGAGCTAGTTAAAGAAGAGGAAGAGCTAGTGAAAAGAGAGGAAGAGCTAGTGAAAAGAGAGGTAGAGCTAGTTGAAGGAGAGGAAAGGCTAGTGAAAAGACATGAAGAGCTAGTGAAAGGAGAGGAAGTGCTAGTGAAAAGAGAGGAAGAGCTAGTCAAAAGAGAGGAAGAGCTAGTTAAAGGAGAGGAAAAGCTAGTGAAAAGAGAGGAAGTGCTAGTGAAAAGAGAGGAAGAGCTAGTCAAAAGAGAGGAAGAGCTAGTTAAAGGAGAGGAAAAGCTAGTGAAAAGACAGGAAGAACTAGTGAAAGGAGAGGAAACGCTAGTGAAAGGAGAGGAAGAATTTGTGAAAAGAGAGGAAGAGCTATTCAAAAGAGAGGAAGAGCTAGTTAAAGAAGAGGAAAAGCTAGTGAAAAGACAGGAAGGGTTAGTGAAAGGAAAGGAAGAGCTAGTGAAAAGAGAGGAAGAGCTAGTTGAAGGAGAGGAAAAGATAGTGAAAAGACAGAAAGAGCTAGTGAAAGGAGAGGAAGTGCTAGTGAAAAGAGAGGAAGAGCTAGTCAAAAGAGAGGAAGAGCTAGTTAAAGGAGAGGAAAAGCTAGTGAAAAGACAGGAAGAATTAGTGAAAGGAGAGGAAAAGCTAGTGAGAGGAGAGGAAGAGTTAGTGAAAATAGAGGAAGAGCTATTCAAAAGAGAGGAAGAGCTAGTTAAAGAAGAGGAAAAGCTAGTGAAAAGAGAGGAAATGCTAGTGAAAAGAGATGAAGAGATAGTGAAAAGAGATGAAGAACTGGAGAAAAGAGAGGAAGAGCTAGTGAAAGGAGAGGAAGAGCTAGTGAAAAGAAAGGAAGAGCTAGTCAAAAGAGAGGAAGAGCTAGTTAAAGGAGAGGAAAAGCTAGTGAAAAGACAGGAAGAACTAGTGAAAGGAGAGGAAAAGCTAGTGAAAGGAGAGGAAGAGTTAGTGAAAAGAGAGGAAGAGCTATTCAAAAGAGAGGAAGAGCTAGTTAAAGAAGAGGAAGAGTTGGAAAGTAGAAGACGAGAAGTAAAGAACTGGGAGGAAGATCTAGAAATAAGACAGGAAGGACAAGAGAAACAGAACCAGGAGTTGTGGAGCCGAGAAAAATGCTTAAAAAGAAAGGAAGAAGAGTCTGAAAGCCTAGAACAAAACATCTGCAGCAAGGAGCAAGACGTGGAGAAAATAGAAAAAGAGCTGCAAAACAGGAAGAACAAACTGGATAGTAGAGAATATGATTTAAAAACTTGGGAAGAAAATATTAAGAAAATTGAGCTGGATCTAGAAAACCTGCAGCGACAACAGCACAACCGTCAACTAGAGCTGGATGAAAGGGAAAATGAACAAGGGAGTGGGAAGGAAGAACATCAGAACCAGAGAGAGAATCTGGAAAAAAGAGAGAGAGAACTGAGGGCCAGAGAACATGAACTCGACAACAGGGAACATGATTTGAGATGTGGAGAACAAGGGTTGGAAAACCAGGAAAAGGATATGAACAACCGACAGCACGACATGGACAAAAGACAAGAAGAATTGGAAAATATACAACAAGATCTTGAGAAAAGGGAGCTTCACCTGGAGAACAGAGAAGAAGAAATAAAGAAGCATACACAAGCTCTGGAAAAAAGAGAGAAAGAGATCAAAGACCGCTTACAAGGACTTGAAAACAGAGAACACAATTTGAAGAATGGAGAGCAAGAGTTACTGAACTGGAGAACAGAGTTAGAAATTCAAGAGAAACATATGAGCAACAAGAGCCAAGACATGGAAAAGCTGGAGGGGGAGGTGGAAAACCATCAACAAGAGCTAAGGAACAGAGAGGAAGGTTTTGAAGGAAAAATGCAAGAGTTGAGGAATTGGGAGCAGCGTCTAGACAGACTTGAAACAGAACTAGAGAGGAGAGAGCATGAACCGAGGAATATGAATAATGGACTCAAGGAAAAGGAGCGCGAAGTGAACCATTTTGAGAAAGATCCGGATGACAGAGATTATGACGTGGAGACCAGAGAGCCTAACAGATTGATACCAAGCCATGAAGCACATGGAGGAGATGTTTGTGACAGGACAGCAAGATATGATGATGTCACACTAGGGGGTATAGATGATTCCCATATGATGTACCAGGAAGTAGGAGTGGTGGAGAAAGAAGGATGGGAACTGCAGGGAGAGGAACCAGAGAGGAGCGGAAGCATCACAGACAGGGAAGATCGGAAGATGATGGAATGTGCCTCGTCTGCAATCTTAAACAATAACTGTCAGTTTGAAAGAATGGTGGCGCAAGAAGCGAAAGAGGAGGCTGGACAGAATCTGGAAGAACAGATGAAAGAGGAGATCGAAGAAGAGGGAGACAAGGAGAGAAATAGAGAGCATCCCAAACAGGAAGGGGATTCTCAGAACACAGGGAAAGAGTGTGTTCCATTAAAAAGAGGGAGCCAGGATGAGATATGGCTGGAAGAATGTAGAAAGAGGGGGAGAATGGGTGAAGAGGAGGGGGAGGAGGAAGATGAGGATAATTATAAGGAAATTGAAGATATAAACATTATCTCAGACTTAAAGTTAACTCCAAGTCCAGGCCCCAGTGTAGCAAACACTAAACACATACAAAGGTCTGAGCTGAGGCTGGTACTGTTAGGGGAGACTTGGTCCTCCCGTCACCCAGCAGGGTACACAATCCTGGGAAGCGAAGCCTCACACCCAGGTGGGTCCATCTCCATGCCATGGCGGGGACAAATCGCTGGAAGGCAGGTCAGTGTGGTAGAACCACTGGGACTAAAGTGGCGTAACGGACCAGACGACAACACCACCATCACCACAGACCCAACACAGCTCCAGAACATCTTCCATAGTGTGTCCCTGTCCCACCCAGGTCCCCACGCTATCCTCCTGGTCCTACCAGCCTACCTGTCATTCACACAGAAGTATCGGAGAGCGGTGGAACACCATATGAGTGTGCTCGGGGAAGATATTTGGCATCGCACCATGGTGCTGTTCACGTGGGGGGAAGCTTTAGGGGAGAGCGCGGAGCAGCACATACTGAGGAATGGAGACCTCCAGTGGCTCGTGGGACAATGTGGTGGTAGATTCCATATTCTGGCCAGCAGGAAGAACAACTCCCAAACAGCAGAGCTAATGGAGAAGATAGAGGAGATGGTGGCAGAAAACGGTGACTATCAATGTAATGGAGACTGATCTTCAGTTGGGATGAGTAGAGATGAATGGAGAGACAAAGGATGGACTGGGATGATATGAGAGGGAAATCATCACAAGTTGTTTGAAATCTTTGTGAATAGGCCAATGGCGGGATGTTTTATTTCCCTCTCACATATTTAGCATAAGTAGTTCACCAATGTCACAAATATTCCAACTTCAATTAATTATTCCTCGACCTTTTACATACAATTGTCAAATATTTACCAAACATGCTTGCTCCAAAGGACTTTTTCATGTATTACATTTCAGAAAGATCCAAAATGGTATGGTCTTTTTTGTTCCAGTTTCGCACGGAACGACCCATAAGACTGCTTGTAGGTAAAAAAGTGGATTTACAGTATGTGAGTTCATAGTTTCTCCACAAGATGGAGATCTTGTATCACTTTCTATGGATGACAGATGGAGCGTTTCAAGATGCTGATGTTGAACATGTTGATAATAAATTGGATTAAACAGTTCAAATGTGTCCACGCACCAGTACGTTTAATGTAGACATTGTAAGTGAAATAAGAGGTAGGCCCGTATCCCGTATCATAGAGGGCCAGGGCCCGTATCCACAGTATCGCAGAGTTGGAGTGCTGATCTAGGATCAGGTCCCTCCTTGTCCATGCAATCTTATTCATTGAGATTTAAAAGGTCAAACTGATCCTAGATCAGCACTCCTACACTGAGATGCTTTGTGAATACAGGCACATTTATAAAAATAGAAGATAAACTGGAAAACCGAATCAGATATTGTAAAACGTGAATTATTAAATATTACTGAATTGTTGCAATTCATCTTTTGAGATTTTATTCTACTGTGCTTCTCTGTGTTGAAGTGAACAAGGAACTGTAACAGTATTTACTGACACATTTGATAGGCCTAAAACTTGTGAGCTACATTGATCTTTATTCGATAGGCCAACCACACATTTTGCAATGTGTTTTCACAGAAATAAAAGTAGATATTTGTCGGTGAGCGTTAGCCAGCCTTTCATAGAATCTAAATGTGTCTTTATGAAGAATGTTGACCAATAGGGCAGGGGAGTCAAGCCTTCCGCTGCAATTATCGCCGCAGGGAATCTCTCTCCAGACAGCTCTGCGGTTGACAAATTATGGTTCTAGATGAGGGGGTTCTAATCTATATGGCTTTAAAAGCGTCAAGCTTTTATACCAAGGGCAAAGTTATGGTGTAGATATTGGGAGGGACGAACAGCAGATGGAGGGTCCATGGGGTCCTCCCCCAGATTTTTTTGTTTTTACATTTTAAAACGCATTTCCTGCAATTCTACACAGTTTGACATTAGTTATTATTCTTCTCTTGGGGGGTATTTGAGGGGTATATGAAGGGGTATTTTGAAAACACAGTATAAGTGGAAGGATAAGAGGAAGGCCCCCCAAGAAGTAAAACATTAGAGGGGAAAACAGCTAACTTCCTGCATTTCAACACATTTTGCCATGAGGCTGAGGAAAATGTTTCCAGTGAAAATCTCACTTTTGAAAGTTAATATTCTGTTAACTCATGCCCCCTATAATGTTGTTGACTCATCCTATACTCATATTTGTGGCCAAAGCATAAATAAATAAATAAAAAAACATTAAAAGAAACACCTCAAACTTGTATTTCCTCATAGAGGATGATGTCATCCTTCTGAGGAGGATAAGCTGGCCAATCAGCGGTCTACTCGCTTGAATATTTTTAAGACCGGTATACGCCAACACCATTCTGTTGTTTGGGTACGCCAACACCATTCCAACACAGAAAAGCTGCTTTTTGGAAGGAAAACTATTTTACTCATATTGTCATTAATTATAGGTAATATTTCATAGAAAGCTGGAAACACTGGACAGCTACGTTAAAGGTCTTCTTTGGGCAAAAACGCAAAAATAAGGCATTTAAACGGTATAACTGATAAATGCACCATCAGACAAGGTAATTTAATGCTTAAAAATATATAATGGATGAATAAGATATTTGGCTAGATGAGTGCCATTTCTTACCGATCTCTACCCCTTCTGTCCAAAAACAAATCTTGTGAAATGACGTCAACACAGACTGGAGGAGTTACTGGCTAGCAACAAGTGGCTAGCTTAGCTAACAAACTAGCTACGTTGGTCGCGGCGCACATGACCAGAATGACACATACAGTACATGCACATCGCATTTCAGTTTGAAAATTGAGAAAGAGGAGGAGTTGGACCGATTTTCGTGCCCAAAGTCGACCGGTAAAGCTAATTTCCAGCAATTCTTCACATTTTGCCATTGCTTATGTGTTCATATTTTATCATATTTATTTTTGATTTTAAAGAAATTATTGGGGGAGACGAATTGACCTGTTCTGAATTTCGGAGGTGAAATGTCCCCCCATACCCAATGGCAATTTCACCTATGTTTTATACCAAATTAAAAGATATCTGGCTCAGTTGGTTGAGCATGGCGCTTGCAATGCCGGGGTTGTGGGTTTGATTCCCAAAGGGGACCAGTATGGACAAAAAAACTACGAAAATGTATCCACTCACTGCTTTAAGTCGCTCTGAATAAGAGTGTCTGCTAAATGACTAAAATGTAGTACAAAAATATAAAAATAAACAGCTTTTCTAGCTCATAGACCTCTAGGAGAGCCATTCACGTGCAATTAGTGATAATTGTGGAATGGTCGACTTGTCATTGCTGCAAATGTTGCCATTTCTGTAACCAATCATCATACAATGCCATCGGTCTGTCATTGCGCGAGGACTGGATGTGTCAAATGCTCTCTCAATGAAGTCAATTTTGACAATGTGTTTGAACATTGCTGCAGGGGGCAAAAGTTTTTTTTTTTTTTTTTTAATCAACCACTCCCCACTCCTCTTTCAATGTCCAATTACAATGGATGTATCTAATAGCCTATAGGGTGCATTCTGTAATTGCTCACTAAACTTTCAAATGTCGAATGTGCGGTGAAAACGATGCTCATGTCGTTCCAAATGTGCACTTTGTGTCATTTACTTAAAGTCCACTCACCACCAACGTGGGATAGCAGAGTCACGCGCTCGTAGTTCATGGCCTTGGTCAGAAAAAAAGAAAGTCTGATGCTAGCTTAGCATAGCAAGAACCACTGTCACCGTTCTGTAACTCAAATTTCTAGATGTAATTATATATAATTATATTTCGAATAAATGATGATTGTCTAATGATTTTTAAGGTATGCAGGGGAACGTGATGTTAACCCGTAACTATAAAGCTCCAATCCACATTTAATTCTAAATGCCTAGGCCTACTGCTTGCTAAATCTATTTTTTTAACTATACAAATAATGTTTATTTGCAGGACAAGGATTGCCCTGACTTTCAAGAATGCCTGAATTGCTTCGCATTGCTTTTCTGGTTAGCTGGATGCAATTTTCACCATTCAATTATTTCACATCTACACACAGTAAAATCCTATGGAGTCAAATGTAACACTATTTTGGGGATTGTATGGTCCCACACCCATTTTGTGTTAAAACTACTCTGGTCATGATGTCTTTGAACAGGGTATGGTAGTAGGTGCCAGGCGCTCCGGTTTGTGTCAAGGACTGCAATGCTGCTGAGTTTTTCACACTCAACAGTTTCCCGTGTGTATCAAGAATGATCCACCACCCAAGGGACGTCCAGCCAACTTGACACAACTGTGGGAAGCATTGGAGTCAACATGGGCCATCATCCCTGTGGAATGCTTTCGACACCTTGTAGAGTCCATGCCCCGACAAATTGAGGCTGTTCTGAGAGCAAAAGGTCTGTGTGTATGGGGGGGGGGGGGGGGGGGGGGGGGGGGGGATACTCAATATAAGGAAGGTGTTTCTAATGTTTTGTATACTCAATGTACTGTAGGTGTTCTCCTGGTTGGAAACTTACTGGAAAAACTGACTATCATGTTTAATCTTGTTTTTTAAGGCCTGTGTTCAAGATGAGAAAACGTATTAGCAAATCTAAATGCGTAATGTTAAAATTTTAAACACTGACATTTAGGTTATAAAACCCTGTAATAAAAGCATCAGACATACAGTACCAGTCAAAAGTTTGGACACATCTACTCATTCCAGGGTTTTTCCTTTATTTTTACTATTTTCTACACTATAGAATAATAGTGAAGAAATCAAAACTATGGAATAACACATACAGTGAGTGAAAAAAGTATTTGATCCCCTGCTGATTTTGTACATTTGCCCACTGACAAAGAAATGATCAGTCTATAATTTTAATGGTAGGTTTATTTGAACAGTGAGAGACAGAATAACAACAAAAAAATCCAGAAAAACGCATGTCAAAAATGTTATAAATTGATATGCATTTTAATGAGGGAAATAAGTATTTGACCCCCTCTCAATCAGAAAGATTTCTGGCTCCCAGGTGTCTTTTATACAGGTAACGAGCTGAGATTAGGAGCACACTCTTAAAGGGAGTGCTCCTAATCTAATCTTGTTACCTGTATAAAAGACACCTGTCCACAGAAGCAATCAATCAATCAGATTCCAAACTCTCCACCATGGCCAAGACCAAAGAGCTCTCCAAGGATGTCAGGGACAAGATTGTAGACCTAAACAAGGCTGGAATGGGCTACAAGACCATCGCCAAGCAGCTTGGTGAGAAGGTGACAACAGTGTGTGTGATTATTCGTAAATGGAAGAAACACAAAAGTACTGTCAATCTCCCTCGGCCTGGGGCTCCATGCAAGATCTCACCTCGTGGAGTTGCAATGATCATGAGAACGGTGAGCAATCAGCCCAGAATTAAACGGGAGGATCTTGTCAATGATCTCAAGGCAGCTGGGACCATAGTCACCAAGAAAACAATTGGCAACACACTACGCCGTGAAGGACTGAAATCCTGCAGCGCACGCAAGGTCCCCCTGCTCAAGAAAGCACATATACAGGCCCGTCTGAAGTTCGCCAATGAACATCTGAATGATTCAGAGGGGAACTGGGTGAAAGTGTTGTGATCAGATGAGACCAAAATGGAGCTCTTTGGCATCAACT